CGGAATCGATGGCAGCGAAAAAGTATTGGCTTGCGGAAGTAAAGAACGTTGCTCTCTCTCTCTCGCTCTCTCGAATCCCCTCGGATACTGTTATCTTGGATCGTTGTACGAAAGCCTTTACTCATCCCACCGGCGGAAGATGATGCCAAATTTTTTGCCATCCGCGCGCGCATCTTGCTAAAAAAGGAAGAGCGCCCTCGCGTACCCCATCGATCCGCGTTTGCGAGCAGCGTCGCCTATAAATGCGGACACCGGCGCGCATTACATGACATCGCCAAGCTATGCAAACTATGAACCACCGTGAGAGCTTAATGCGCGCCTTTTCTGCGTCCGTCATACACCGAGCAAGTAGAGCAGCACGAGCGAGCAAAGAGCGTGTACGTACGACGTGTACGCGTCGCGCGCGCAAAGGAACAAGCGAACGCAAAAAGAGAGAAATGCGAAACGCTCGCGCGCATCGCGTGTACACGCGCACGCACTCGCGAGCGTAGAGCGGTCGCTGACTTTGCATTTTGTAGTCAGTGTTTTTTATGCGTCCTATTGCCTCTCTTTTTCAGCACTCTTTCCCCCCCCCCCCCTCCCCTCCCCTCCCACCTCGCCCGCACGCCTCACCCTTCTCACGCTTGACGCGCCCGGTAAAAACGTGCATTTTTTTTCCCTACTCTTTCGCACGATACCACTATGCCGCGTGATTTTTGAGGTCTTTTCTCTCCTCCGGGATTGTACACTACCGCTATTTACGATGCAAATCAAAGCGGGGTCCTTTCGTTTCTTTTTTTTTTTATTTTTATGGCGCCACCCTGCGCCGCGACCAATTGACGAATTTTATTTGGAAATCGGGGCGCTGACCCTTCAGCTCTGCATTTTAACGAGATTTATTATAAAAACGTAGACGCTTCTCCGGAAGACTTTATTCGAGGACCAAGTGTCTGAGCGAAACTCCGCTATTGTCCGCAATATTTAACAGTTGAATAATAAATTTGCGTTCAATTCTAGTAAGATTGTTAAAATATTTAGTTATTATTCAAAATCTCAAACGATAATCAATGAGAATATTTAAATTTTCAAGAATAGAAGTAAATTAAATTTTTCCACGCGCCGCTTCTAGTGCATTTTTTTTTTACTTTTGTATATTTTTACTAAATTTTTTCATTTCTCTCATTGATTTTCCCTCAATAAGCGAATAAAATTATAAAATGAAAAGGCGCAAAGTTTTTACTGGCCATTATTTATTTACTATTTAACTACAATAAATTCTAAATATTTATCAGGAGTACAATTTTTATTTCTGTATAATTATTAATTGCATTCCTCGGTGAATTTTTTAAAACTATTTGCATTTAATAGATCTTTAATTTTGTTGGCGAGTAAAAAATCGACTACGGCCGATTTCGCAGTGTGCCAAGTTGAAACGTGCAAATATTGCTCAATCGCGACTTTTTTATGTGCAGTTTGATGGGCGATGAACTTGGGTTAATACTCGTGCACGGGTCACTCTCGTGCAAGTTTTAAAAGCGAATAAAATGGAAGAGTAACGAGGGCCAGCTTGAGAATGACGGCGCGACACATTTTAATGGGATTTTCTTAACGATCAGTAATTGTGACCACATTTATCTGGTTATTACACGGCGTGTTCCTCATAAAATTGCACACTTTTCTAGAGCCGTAATTGTCAGATTTACAGGAGCAATCTAAAAGCAATAGCAAATATAATTATGCTAATGTATCATTAATGAGATGTATCGATTTAATTAGAAATGAAAATAACGTGTGTATAGAAATTAAATATTAATCTTTGATTAGTTGTAATTGATTCGGCAAAATTTGAATTTTAAGGTTCAATTATTAACATATTTGTGATGCTGAAAGCTCAACATTTGCGCAAGCAATTGATACCATTTTTGCCGCATAAAAATATTTATAACTAGAAAAAAGCGCCCGACTAATGCGACACTCTATATCGCACATTTTGAACGTTTTATTTTTAATAACGTAGTATTTTTGTTGCGACATAAATATCGGAAAATATTTGAGGCTATAAATACCTTTATGGCTGAAAGAAGAATTTATTTAACCGCGTATAGTTAGCCAATAAAAGCAACTATTATGAACATCGCGCATTATCGATCGCGATACTCTCGCGGACGACAACCCCGAAACACACCAAGCCCTATAACCGATCCCTACTGAAGATCCAAAGGAAGAAAATCGCACCTTGCATACAATTGCACCCGGAACGCACGCACGCTGCGAGCTTCACAAAGAGAACTTCCGATTTAGTTTTCGTGATAGAAACGCATGCTGGATTGACTGATATGTGTATGCGGGTGTTAACGAGGACATAGTTTGGACGCTCTCACATACACGAATATCTATATATATATATATACACACACACACACAACATGTACACACATGTACAAACATAGCATGTCAGCAGTTCTCTATTGTTGATAGAATCCCAGCTCCCCCAATGCGCGATAGTCGAAAGGGAAAGAGAAGCCAAGTATTTAGATGGTACGGTCGGATTAAGGATGAAACTGTCGATTGCAGACTTTTGCTTTCGTCCAACGTTCGTCCGAGCAACGAATGCGCGGAATGCGAAATCTTTCGGTTTTTTCGCAAGTTTCGGACACTCCGGCATTCGCATTTCGAGATTTCCAAGTTCGTCTTCCGTAGCTGAGTGATTGTCTGCCAGCCGAAACAAGGATCCTCCTGGATTCATTACTCAACGCGGTCGTTCGCCATTTACAATCCTAAGGAAAGGAAGCTCGGGTTCCGACGCGCCGCGCGGAAGAAGCGGGAAGTCTCGGGGAAATGAAATATGCCGCGGCGAAAAAAAGTCCGCGGAAAGCTCGCTCACTCCCTCTCTCTCTTTCTCGCGAGCTTTCCACGGACGGCGAAGACAAGGCGCGGCGCGGGCTCGCTCGCTCGCTCGCGCCAAACAAGCGTCGTAAATTTCAGGTCCCTTCTCGAGAGAATCGTATCTCATCGAGAAAGGGAATGCAAGCGCGCGCGCTACCTTCTTGCAACTGCGTGTCGACAGTGGCTTTATCTCGGAAGAAAGGCGTCCGGTCGAATGTAAGAAAGTTTGCGACCAAGTTCCGGAATGTTCTTCGCCGCCTTCGTGACGGAAGCGGAATCGCGGTGATACTTTTGCCCGGACTTTTTAAAAATCACCGATATCAATCCGCGAAATTATCCGCGTATTTCGATTACGCGCAAACGCGAAACGGCTAAAAAGTCACGCAGCTTGTGTTAAAATTTTTGCGACTATATAGATTATATTAATACTTTTATTCGCCATTGTTTTATTCCGCTTTGGAATTTTTCAGTTTTCTGCTGGGCTCGCAATTTATACGAACGGCGGCGTAAACGCGCGAGCCATTAAATCGGCATGCTGGCTAAATAAAATAACGCATCTCGTCTCGGTGACATAAACGCTCGACAATCGGCCATGTCATTAATAACTTTATTCGCGATCAATCACACAACCAATCTAAAGTTCACGCTCGTTTTTATCGTAAATGCGTGTCTTCCGTGTCGTTCGGATAATGAATATCGCCACTAATGACGCGTTAATAATCTAGAAAAGTGCTGACGTAAATATATCCGTGGGTTTTAGAGAGCTATTTTTACGCTAGGAAAAATTGAGGAAGCGTGACACATTAGTCACGTTTAGTCAAACGACGTGCAAATCGATGAATCCTCATTTTAGCAAACGCCAAACTATTATCTTTATTAGCTTTTTATCGAAACAGCTTTTCACCGCCATTTTAAATATTACTCATGATTTTAACGTGCGTAGCAACGATAAAAAATTTTGCTCAAACTTGAAACGCTGAAAATCGATTCCGCAATATCGTATTATTATCTTTCTCGACGCCGAGACGAAACTTTTGTTAACTAATGTGTCATTTTTTTAACGATAACTTCTGCGAGCTTGCGAAAGTACAATTCTAATGCCAGTCAAACGAGAAATTGCCCCGCGAAATTCCCGATGCACTTCCGCTTGCGGCGCGACGAAACAGGCAAAAGTTCCGAGGAGAATTCGTGACGCGCGCGTTGGGACGCGCTCGGGAATACGAAGTGAAGAAGGGACCGCGTCGTAAAACGCGGCTGTCGCGACGCCGGTGGGCGTTGGCGGCGCGGGTGTATCTCGCGCGGATAACCGACTATCAAGCTATAATTCAGTCATTCGGCCGGCAACGGAGTAACGCGGTCGGGCGCGCGTCCGTGCGCGCGGCTTTTACGAGGCCCTTAAAAGCGAAACTTAAATGCTCGTCCGGCGCGCTTCTATCACTGCTCCGAATGTAGTGCGTAAATTTTCAGCCCGACGTTACGACGAACTTTACCCCCGACGCCGGTCCGATAAGACCGTCGTGCGCGCACGCGCGCAATTGGATCCCGTAAATCGATGTAACCGCCAAGCCGCGCGCTGACCCCCGACGCGTCTAATAATGTACGGGGGGGCCGCAGTGATATATCGAGTTTAGATTTCTAACGCGAGATCGAGTGGGATTTAGGTAGGATCTCTTCCGTCCGGCGTTGCGGCGACGATAAAGGATTTACGAGTGGAATTTTGTTCCCCCGCGGTTGTAATGGGTTTTCTGATGAAGATTGAATTCGGGCCTCCCGGCGTTTCCCGGGAATGAACCGCCGGTTTTATTTCTTTCCCTCTATTTTTTTCTCTTTTCTCTTATATCAGACAAAATAGCGAGAATCGCGCGTGTGGATCATTTTTAATTTGTCGACGACCGCGCGCGCGCGAAGTCTGAGGTGAGTTTTTCCGAGTCGAGAAGACCGCGGAGAAGTTTAAAGGGGAGCGATGAATGTTCGGAAGACGAGATGTATGGTGTTAAGTCACTTTCTTATGTTCCGACACTGATGACTTGGAAACAGCGCTCGTACGAATTACCAGCTGCCGCCTAGAGAATGCACCGTTATTGCTTCGCAAGGAAGATTAATAACAAACATACGGATGCACTCGAAATTCCGTATAATTATCGCGATTAAAGCTAAACACATTTAACAGCGCACTCGCTTTGTCGAAAGACAGGCTATCATGTTTCAACGTTGCCTTTACACGCTTTGTGAATAGCATCAATTTTGAGTCGCGCACAGCGGAGCGTTGTTTCTCTTCTTTTTTTTTTCTCTCTCTCTCTTCTTCGCGACAAAGTCGATCGCATCTTCAGCCTTCGTCGTCGTTCACAGACATTTTTCACGCGCGACGCTTTTGCCGCCTGAGAAGTTAGTGCTTCGGATGCGCTGTAAAAATTTCATTTTCAAAGTGTATTATCCGACGCGGGAGGCTGACGCGGCGCGATTACACGCGATACACGCGCGACACTATAAGAGCGCAGTTTTACAGTTACGACGACTACTTTACGCCGCATTTTACGGCGGAACGTTGATTACGTCTGGCGGGACGGCCGAATAAAGTCTTCCTTGTGAAAAATAACAGGACGGTGTTTAGCGCGACTGCACGTTGCACCGCCTAGCATTGATAGCCTCACGAATGTCGCATGCTATCCAAAATGGGAGCACCGATACACGACGAATGCACACGTCAGCCGAGTTTTGCATCATCTTCTTATCAGGAGGAACGCGGAAGATTTACGACCGCGACGAGCGGAGGGTGTGAAAAATATGAGAAGCGGTAAAATTCAGATACATAATGGCCGAAACAAGTGTGTGCAACGGTCGCGAAATTCAGGCTGCCGGCGTACAAAGGCGTCGTCCTCGCAAAACTTTTGAAAACACACGAGAAGTCTCCGAAGAGAGTTTAGTTTTAAGCTTTAACGTCCGCGCCGCGATACAAGGCTTGAAAAAAACCGCGAGAGATCCTCCGCCATTATTTATGGACAGATTATTCCGCCTCGCTTACTTTGTCGCGTGCGATATTGAAGATTTATAAGCGAGATGGGGCAAAACTTTCTTCGACGTGTGCGGAAAGATATATAACTTTGGGGGGAAGCCGCGTTTCCCATGATTCTCACAGATCACGATACGGGCAACATTTACATTATCGGCATAGCCACGATCTCACATGTGACATATTTATCAGTGCATTCGATCATGAACGCTGTTACCATTCATCTCCCCTTTTTTGAATCACCTCATCACGCCTCAACTTTATCGCTGTACGTTACAGGGCGCTCTGAGAGAGTATTATCATCGCAAGTAATTTCGAGTCTGTCTTTCTTTAGCAAGTGCGCGTAATCTCAGATTTAATTTCCGAGCTATTCGCAAAAATGAAAATTAAAGAGTCTCGGTGAGCGCGCTCGCGTATTAAATTCGTGCTAAAGAAAAGTCGACGCTAAATTCCTTGAGAAAATAACTCCCGCTCGTGCACATATATATGTATATATATATAAATATATATGTACACATCTCTCTCTCTCTCTCTCTCTCTCTCTCTCTCTCTCTCAGGACACCCGCAATTACAATTAATGCATAGTTTAACTATAAAAGTGAAATATAAACCATGTTTGGATTCTGCGGATCCGGCGTTTTTTCAAGACATACATTTATGGATGTCGCGATGTTCAAATTTCAGAAAATCGTCGAATCCACGGACTAAGGAATAGAGGGACGGTGCACAAGCTGTACCGGGGGAGCACGTTTGCGGCGGGGGGGGGGCGCCATATTCGTTTAGTAATCACCACACATAGAACTCACTATTTGCGTATATGTGAGAAATGAAAGTCAGATCCTGCGCACAATAAACAAAATAGGAAATAGAAATAGAAATAATTATTAAATATTAGAAATAAGAAATTGGAATTATTTATTTTAAAATAAAAAGAATAGAAAAATTAATGCATAAATTAAGAAATAAGAATTGGAACTAATTAA